TGCGCGCGGCGCGAAGGCGAGAGCCGCATGTATAGAACTAGCCATCCTCCATCCGTGCAGCGCTTGCAAACTCTTAAGACGAATGCGCGCGGCGTCATGGCGAAAACCACAGTTTGAAAAGGAACCGCCCTCCATCCGCGAAACGCTTCCTAACGTTTAACACGAATGCGCGCGGCGCTCAGGCGACAGCCACATTTTGAGAACGGACCGCCCTCCACCCGTTAGGTTCTTGAACATGTCAAGTCTCACTTTCATTAATTGTGATGAGTTCTCAGGCGAAACGCCTCGCCCGCCGTTTCGACCGCCCTCGGGGTGCGACAGGGAGGAGATATTCATAAGTTTGTAAGAAACAGGAAGTGCGCGGCATCTCGGCAACCCCAGTGGCCGAAGGCCGCAGAGATATACTTACACCGTACACAGCCCAACGCGAGAGTGACGATATATCTTGAACTGCGTCTAGCTTACCAACGCCGTTGACCACGTCTTCCTTTCAGAAGGGCATCGCCAAGGACATGATCTATTGGATGAACGTGCTGCTACAGCACAACGGCGGAAAGAGCCCAGCCCCTTCAGGAGAACTAACTGACCAAAAACCGGATCACCGTGACCCATCATCGGGCCCCCCGCTAAGCACCAGCCACCAGGGCCCCGCGACAGGACCCGAGGGTCACGACAACAGCCAACCGACGCAAAGCCAAGAAGGCAGCCACCAGCATGGAGCCACTACTAAGCCAGCCACCCACAACAGTACAGACATTCCGCTGGCCGCAGATGTTCACGCTACGATTCGCCGCCACGATCGACAGCAGGTTCTGCAATCAGCACATGCAGCAGCTCCTACTGGCTCAGCACACGTTCGCGACATCCCCGCTGCAGGGCACGCCACCATTACGACCACCAACAACGAAGGCCATGACAACCGACTAAACTACGCTCAGCGGCGAGGTCTATCGATTTGACGCGATATACGCAGTACCGCGCCTGGACACGATGGCCATCAAAGACCAGGACAAGGATGAGCACTCCCCTGGCCACGACAGCATGTATTAATTGAATCGCTTCGCTCATTCCGCCGGCCCGTGATATGGCATCGCTGGTTTTTGTCTGTGTGTTCGTTGCCCATGTTGCGCTCTTGGGGGCGGGTGTCGTTCGGACGCGTTGCGTGGGGAGTTTTGATGGTGAAGCAGTTCCCTGGGGGTCGTCTCTCGATGGGGCGAAATAGAGTCGTCGTCAAGATGCTTCTTTGGGGGGCCTCTTGGGGTCTGTTGAGAGGCCGTTCGGGGGCGCCTGGGAGACATGTTTGAAGCCTTCTGGGGCTTCTTTTGGGCCTCCTGGGAGTCTCCTGGGGCCTCTTGGCGACATCTTGGGGCCTCTTGGAGGCCTCTTGGGGCCTCTTTGGGACCTCCTGGGCGCCTTCTGGGACGGAGGGCTCCATTTTTGAGTTCTCGGTATCCCTCCTGAGTCCCTCTTGGGCCCGTCTTGGGGCCTCTTGGTCCGTCTTGGGCGGCACTTGGGCCGTCTTGAGGGCTCTCTTGGGTCGTTTCGGCGCCGTCTTGGGAGCTTCGTGGGCCGTCTTGGAGCGGTCTTGGGGGCCTCTTGGGCCGTCTTGGAGCGTCCGGAAGCCGAAAAAGCCAGAACAAAAAAAACAAAAAACCAATGAAAATCAACGATTTTGGCCTCTTGGGGCTCTCTTCGGAGGCCTCTTGGAAGGCTCTTGGGGCGTCTTGGAGGCCTCTTGGGCTGTCTTGGGGGCCTTTTGGGCCGTCTTGGGGTCATCTTCGGCGTCTTCGAGCGCTCTTTGGGCGTCTCGGGGGCCTCTTGGGCAGTCTTGGGGGCCTCTTGGGGCACTCTGAGCGCGCTCTGGGGAGCCTGAGAGGCCGCACCCAGAAGGAAAACCATCTCTGAGTAGACTTGGTGGTCGGGCGGCGGTCGGGCGGCGACCGGGCGTTGGTCGGGGTACTTTTCGCCGGGGGACCCCCAGGGGCCGCCCCGCGCGCGCGAACTAGAAATACTGTTAATACTGTTAACCAGTTACCGGAGATCTTAGCACGCCCTGGCCCGTTGGGCCGGCGAATTTCATAAGAGTGACGCTGGCTCACCGACCAGTACGACCAGCAGCCGTACCAGATTGAAGCCCACGGGAACTGCATCCGAAGCGGACAACCCCACAACGACCATGCCGACAGCGTGATCGACGACATGAGACGCCCACCCAACGTGGCCCCACCCTCAGGTCAGAGCGCACCACCTACCTCTTGTCTCCCGACTGCCAACGGCTGAGAGGCAAACGCCACCCTCACGCCGAAATGGGACCTGCCGCGCGGAGGCCCGTCAGTGCGCCTATATCTCCCTTGCGCCAATTGCTGCCAGCGACCGCAGACTCCCGCCCAGTTTCGATCAGGCGCGCCAGCGCTACCAGCTGTCCCGCCACCTGTCCCCGACCACTGCACTCCCCTTTACCCAAACAGCCGCACCCACTTGTTACGACAGCAACAGCAGCTGGATTAGATTCCCCGACGGCAAACAGCACACTACTTGCTTTCACTCCGAGACGACGGCAGCACGAGCACAAGGCGACAGCGGCACCTCAAAGGGCGCGAAGATGGTGGATCCATGGCAGTGGCTTCCTTGTCCACATTCATCCGAGGTGGCATAGGCCACCACGGCGGCTACATCAACGACAGGCCATGTGACGCAGTAGGTCCACGGTGAGACAGGGCTCCACAATCTGCCGTGGTTTTTACGTCCGCATCTGTTCGTCAAACGACGTGATTCCTTGTGGACGCACCTTACCCGACGTATACGCGTAGGTTTGCGGCAACACAGTGCTTCAAAACCCGCCGCGATGTTCTCACCCACAATAGTCATGATCACAGCCAACTGATGGAGTCCTCCCACGCGCCTCCTTGGTGTCACCTCAACCCCATCGTCGTGGGGCCTTGGAGGCAGCGACGCGAAGGACCCACCATCAGCTAGGCCGGTGACAGCCGTTGCCAAACCTCCCATTTCCCACTAGTTTCCCACTTCTTCCATGATCTGCATGCCCGCCCCCCCATCTAACCTACACCACCATTCACTGTGGAGCGGGATGGGCGGGCGCATATCACGGGGGCCACCCAGGCGGAGGTCGGGACGGCCGCGGCTAGCAGAGCCGCCAGGGCAGCCAATGCAATGGCCTCAGGTTCCCCACCACCTCCCTCTCTTTCACTTCTACCAACTTTCGTCGGCCACAGTTGACTCACCTGGCCCGCCTTCGCCCGCTGCAGCAGGCAATCGCCACACCTCCCTCTGCTCATCCGTTAAGGTTAAGCTCTTTTACCCCTCTTGCCGTCAACTCGCCATTTGCTGCATCAGCTCCACTTGCAGTCCCAACCATGAAGAGTTTTGGGTAGAGCGAGACCACGGGGTCGGGCGATGGCGCGAAGGGCAACTACTGCAGACGGCCCCTTGGCGTTGGCCAGCAACATCTCCTATCTGGCAGCAACGCCGCGCCTCTGCCCCTCACGTGAGCACTCGAATTTCAGGTCTCTTCTGAATGCACCAAGAGTAGCCCTTCCCTTCCACCTGCCGCCACTCAGGCAACCGTTTGGAGCGCCTGATCTGCACCTCTGTCAGCCACGTCTACATTGCAGCCGCCACCGCATCCCACCGCCGCTCTCCAGCGCCGCCTACGCCAACGCCTCTAGCTGGTGGGGGTGGGTCCATCAAGGGGGGACGAGGGCAACATTGCACCGGATGCCTCCCTTCGCTATGGCCGGGGGGGCTGGCTTGCATGTGCGCTTCCTCCCATCTCTATGCAGCAAACATTCTCACCTCTATGCGTTACGTATCTGCTGCGTGCAGTTTTGTGCTGTCGCCGCCTACGTGCCACGCCGTCCCACCTGACTCAGCGCAGAGCGCCGCCTCCAACGGAAGGGGGGATTTAGAACGTCGTATGGAAGGGGCCGGGTGGAACGAACAACCCTGCAAGGCCACCCACCGCCAGGAGGGCGCAAACTTCCCCCACGCCCGGTGGAACCCCCCCTTCAGGCAGCCACCAGTTCCGCGCCTGGGTACCCCCTAAGCCTGCCTCGGCGGAGGAGGGCCCCCGTCGTGGGACTGTGGGATGGTGGGGGCGACTCCTGCGGGCAGAGGGGAAGCCCATGGGCCGTCCCCGCTGGGCGAGATGGGCATTGGCCGCACGCCCACGCTAAGGCCGCACCGCTGCTCGCCGACCCGAATGAAAATCAGATCCTTTTTCATCTGTCTCCTACTGTATCGCGTCCTTCCGCATCGCCCCAGCGGTTACGTTGCTTGGCTCTGTAGATCGAAACCTCCCCCCAACGGTAAACACCCCTGGGGGGGGGATGGCTGCGTCTAGCAAGCAATTGGGAGGAGGCGGACGGGGACCGGGGACGAGGAAGAGGTATGGTGGTGGTGGTGGTGGTGGTGGTGGTGGTGGTGGTGGTGGTGGTGGTGGTGGTGGTGGTGGTGGTGGTGGTCGTGGTCGTGGTGTTGGTGGTGGTGTTGGTGGTGGTGGTGGTGGTGGTGGCGGTGGCGGTGGCGGTGGCGGTGGCGGTGGTGGTGGCGGTGGTGGTGGTGGTGTTGGTGGTGGCGTTGGCGGTGGCGGTGGTGGTGGTGAAGAAGAAAAATAAGAATAAAACTAGTAGTAATAATAATAATAACAATAATAATAAGGAGGAGGAGAAGAAGAATAACGGTGGATTGCAGTAGGCACATCACATAAGAAATTGGCCTACCAGCAGGCGCCCTTCGAAAATGTTGTGCCCCCCGATGGCCCCAGGGAACCACAGAAGCTCTGGGTGCCTGGGGCATTTCGGGACCCTCACAGATCGCCGCACAATGCGCCCAAAGATTCTTTGCAGCAGCAGGTTAGCAGGAAGTATTGTCGCATGCGCCTACTATAGATCCCCGCGTCCTCAGCCCTGGATGGAGGTCCACCAGCCTCCAAGAGTCTAGACCCGAGCCCGCTCGGGTCATCCCGGACGCCTGCCTCCAAGGCTTTCCCGGTGGCCGTGTGGCCGCCGAACCGGAAGTGCATCGGCCTCGACCGGCTGCCCACGGAGGCTGTCAAGCGCGGCCTGGGTCGCGGTTCGGTGTCAGTTTGTCTCGGCGCTGTTCGGGGTGATGCCCACATTGTTGTGCCGTTGCCGTCGTCGTCGATCGTCGTCGTCGTCTCGATCGTCTCCGTCGTCGTTGTCGTCGTCATCGGCGTCGGTCGCCTTGGAGTTCCCGTTACTTTTTTCAAGACACCACCACTCTGATCTCGTTCAGGCATGCTCAAGCCATACCCAATGCGACAGTACCCAAAGCGACCCTTTCGAATCCGTTGAGCGTTGCTTAGAAGCATGGGTACAGAGGATGCCAACGTACACTTCTTACACACTCTCAAGCCACACCACACGCCCGCCATACGCAGGTCGATGTTGCTTCACAGAGTCTTAAATAATCAATGGGAACCCAAGCCTTGCCCTCCTGGGCCGCCTTAAGACCGAGTTGGGCCGTTTGGGAGGCACATCGGGCCATGTTGGCGGCCTTGGTTGCCTGCCCCGGCCGTCTTCGGAGCTTGGGATCGCGGATCCAGCACTTTTGCGAGGGATCGTAGCATTGGGAGCGCGGGTCCAACCTTCTTGTTACTATAGAGATCGTGGCCCCAGGAGCGCGAAGCAACAGCTTGTACAGGTAATCGTGGCCTCGGGAGCTCGAATGTCTGGTCTGTTCTTAGAGACCGTGCCCTCGGGAGCACGGAACCATTTTCTCACTCGGCATTTCACGGGGGAAGGGACGGGGGAGGAAGAGGAGGAGAAGGAGGAGGAGGAGGAGGAGGAGGAGGGGGAGGGGAGGAGGAGGAGGAGGAGGAGGAGGAGGAGGAGGAGGAGGAGGAGGAGGAGGAGGAGGAGGACCAGTGCAAACCCAAGAGTCATCAGCGATATTGGAGTGAACCCTGCCTCCAAGCTCCCTCTTCTTAGGCCCCTACAACGGTTATTCCCCATTGGAGGAACTGCCTCTTCGGAAGACAACCGTTTGAAGACCCTGAAGCATGCCAGAACATTGTTCTCGGGATTCCAACACCACGGATCAACCTAACTGTTGCGTCTTGACAATCCTGAATCGCGCCAGAACGCCATTCCTCGGACTTCAACGCAGCGAACCAACATAATTGTTGCACCCGCATGATCCAGAATTCTTTCAAAACACCATCTCTGCCACGTTGGTGATGGGAATCCGTGAAACTCTTGCAGATGGTTAAAACGAATGTACGCCGCGCTGAGACGAGGGCCACATTTTGAAAAGGAACCGCCCTCAATCTGGAAATGCTTGGAATTTTGGAATGAAAATACACCGGGCAAAGGCGAGAGCCACATTTTGAAAAGGAACCGCCCTCAAGCCGTGAAGCTCTTGCAGATGTTTCCAACGAATGTGCGCCGCGCTAAGACGAGGGCCACATTTTGAAAACGACCCGCCCTCAATTCGTAAAACTCTTGCGAGTGTTTAAAACGAGTGTGCGCCGCGCGAAGGCGAGAGCCGCATGTTGAAAACAGCCCGCCCTCAACCTGCGAAGCTCTTGCAAATGTTTAAAGCGAATGTGCGCCGCGCTAAAGCGAGAGCCGCATTTTGAAACCGACCCGTCCTCAACCCGTGAAAGTCTTGCAGATGTTTAATACGAATGTGCGCCGCGCGAAGGCGAGAGCCACATTTTGAGAACGACCCGCCCTCAATCCGCGAAGCTCTTGTAATTTGTTATAACGAATGTGCACCGCGCGAAGGCGAGAGCCACATTTTGAAATCAACCCGCCCTCTATCTGTGAAGCTGTTGCAAACGTTTAAGCTTCAGAGTCGTACATGGTAAGGAAGTTTCAGGCGAAACGCCCGGCCCGCCCCAAAAACTTGCCTCGGGGTGTGACAGGGAGAAGTTATGTAGAAGAAAAAGGAATTAGGAGGAGGAGGAAGAAGAGGAGGAGGAGGAGGAGTGGGAAGAGGAGGAGGAAGGAGAGGGGGGGGGGGGGGGGCAGGCGGTGCACGCAGATGAGCGCTACAACCGGATGGGGCGGCCCTTGTAGAAGATTACGGAAGCCCTGCCAAGCAGCCCTTGGCATTCTACCACGACTCCACGTGCCAGTGGGCACGGTGGCGGCGGACAGCCGAGCGAGCCAGCAGACGGGAGGCACTTGCACACAGATCCTGCCTGTTCGTTCCCCCCCCCATTGCCCCACCGTTACTTATATATATATAAAAAACAAAACAAAAAAAAAAAAACAAAAAAAAAAAAAAAAAAAAAAAAAAAAAAAAAAAAACAGTCGAGCAACTGATTAAGGAACCTCCCTCCGAATAGCTGGGCCAGCGTTTCTTAACCACTTGCCGGAAAGCTGGCCCAGTTTTTTGAGCGCGGTCGCCATTCAAGCGTCAATAGCATACATTGGTCCAGGCTTGAGTTCAGAAATGTCCCGGAAGTTGTCCCAGATTTCGTAAATGATGAATTTCTTGATCGCAGCTTCGGCTGTGTAAGTTAATATATTTATATGTATATGTACATAAAACCTCTCACTCCCTCTCCATCTCTCTCTCTCTCTCTCTCTCCCTCTCTCTCTCTCTCTTTCTCTCTCTCTCTCTCTCTCTCTCTCTCTCTTTCTGTCACTCTCAATATCTCTCTCTCTCTATATATATGTATTTGTATTCCTGTTATATATATATATGTGTCTCTCTCTCTCACTCTCTCTCTCTCTCTTTTTCCCTCCATCTCTGCTGAATCGTGTACCTCCTGTGTAGACCCTTCTCCTGTCTCGCCACCTCGCGCATATCGACGTTCATTCCTGGTGTTCGATAGTCTGCCCAGGTGCGCTGTGGCTGCCCAACATCACAACGCTTTCACTGGACCTCGCCATGTTTGCCGAAGCCTTTGGCTTGAGTCGCTGGCTTGAGTCGCTGGATCGAGATGTTCGATTCATGCTTCGGCTGCGCGCCTTCTTATCCAATGATCGGTGAAGCAAAGAGAAGTAATGTTGATGCTCCCGTTGGGCTCCCTAGTGATCCAGCACACCCTTTGGCAAGCCGAAGGGAGCGCCACTTGTGACGTGCAGTGGTGCCCGAAACGCGCCTCTGGAGTCCCATGCGTAGAAAAGAGGCAGTGGCTGAGTGGGCCCTGGAAGCAACAGGGCAGTTTTCGTTAATGGCTCCGTTTTGCCAGTTGGTTGTCGGCTCCGGCGCCGTTTTCGTTGTCCGCCGGTTCCGACTCCACTTCTGGAGCCGTTGTTGTGCCGTTTCTTGTTGTGGTTGTTTTACCGAAGTTTCCAAAACCTTCCCCGAAGACACGGGAAACCTCTCAGAAGGACGGAGGGATTCTGAGAAGCCCCGCCGCCTTCTGATAAGGCCTCTCCTTCTCACTTCCCCCCCCTCGCTCGCCGCCGAGATGAGCAAATGCACAGGTGCGGCCCGATAGCCTACAAAAAGAGGCCTCCAAAACTGCATCGCAAGGGGGGGGAGGGGGAGAGGGAGCGAAGCGAAGGACAGCACATTGGGGCCCCAGCCACGCTCGCCTCCGCCAGCGAGGCTCGGGTGGTGGATACGCACATCCCCCCCACGTCACGCTCCAGTTGAAGGTCAAGAGATCCTGGAGGAGGGAGGGGGAGAAAGAAGAGGCATGAGGAAGAAGGAGGACGAGGCGGGGGCGGAGAGGCAGGATGGAGGATGAGCTAGGCTGCGCCACCTGACGCGGCAGAGGCTGTGCTGCGACCCAGGGGGCCCTGCTCGCGAGTTGCTTGCCTTCGCTCCATGGTCGTAGCGGTCGTGATAAGGCTTCGGGCTGCGCACAGACAGCCCCCACAGGTTGCCCCAGATGGCCTCAGCAGGCCCCCCGAGGAGACCGGGAAGGTCTCAGCACACCAACCTTGGGGTGCGGAGCGCCCCAGGGGCGCCGCCATTTGAGACCACCCTGGGCTACTCGGGGGGCGCGTTGAGGCCAGCCAGGACTACAGGTGAAAACCATGCCAAGAAACACCCTGCTTGCCTCCAGGGTGCCCTGGGTTTCTTGGGTTTCGATGGTTTTGCTATGGAAAGCGTGACGCTCCCACACCAGAAATCAATAGACGCCCTGGCGTCTCAGGGTCGGGTTTCTTGTGGAAGGCTTCTTGTTGTCGAGCTCCAGCTGTACTTGGGGAGGGGCTGTCTGTGCGCAACCCGAGGCCTCACCACAGTGACCCACCTTCGCTTCATACAGTGGGGGCGTTCGTTAAGGAATGTGCCTAGGCGGCTTCAGGCCCTGGGGGATTCCTTACCTGATGAGGGCGGCGGTGATATCCGTGGCCAAGCCCTAACTCGTGTTCACACCGGCTTCCAGATCCTGGACTCCTTCCCTAAGGGTTCCGTATTCAAGGCCTTCACCATAATCCTGGCGGTCGGCGGCCACGTGCCCGCGTCCCGCCCGCTCCTCCCCCCACGGCCGTGCCCCCCGCGCAACCACTGCCCCCGGCAGAGGCCACGAGCAAGTGCGCCCCGAGCATCCTGCGCTGCCGGCTCCAGCCGGACCACGCCACGGCGGTGCCGCCCCCGCCCACCACCGAATCGGGGACACCCAAACGGGGTGGTGACCACACCGTGTGGTGAGTCGGCGGGGATTCGGGGTCACCGCACGGTTTTGGGACTCGGGTCGTTCTCCGAGGGCGTCTCGGGCGACGGGGGCATCCGAGGTCCCAAAACCGTGCGTTGACGGACCGTGCGGTGAGGTCTTGGGGGGTTTGGGAGGTCACCGCACGGCCTGTCACCACACCGTTTCGGGACTCCAAACCGAAGGAGACCACGCGGCGCGCTCAAGGGGGCAGGGCGAGCGGAGAGACTTGGAGGAGGGCGAGTTGAGACGCTTGTAGTTGGCCTTGGGGGGGGTGGCCCTCGTCGCCACGGCTGGACGTGGTTCTCGTAAAAATTGGCACGTTTGGATCCCAGGAGGGGTCTGGGGACCTACAGCCAACCCGCATAGTAAGGATGAGCAGCTGTCCCAGGCTACCCTTGCGTGTTTCCCCTTCGGCCCATCCTTGGCCGCTTTCGCGGGCCGCGCCCCCCTCGCAAAGTGTCGGCATGGCCTTCCAAGGGCCCCCTGCATCCTCATCGCGCGTCCCTGCTCTACGGGGCGACAGCTCGCCCTGCTCCGAAGCAGGACGGCGGCCGTCCTCGAAGTGATCGCCCCCTGCGCGGCGGCCACCCAAGGGAGGCTTCTTGGAGGGCGGGGGGGCGTCCCAGCGCCCGGCCGCCCTCGCAGAGGCTGCTCTCCGTCGCTGTGCCCCCTCTGTTGCGCACCGCCGGCCCCCTGGCTGCCTGGAGGAGTGCTCTGTCGCAGGCGAACGTGTTCTCCCCACACTCCCCGAGCTCTGCCCGAAAAGTATGGCCGTTCAGGAAAACGGGGAAGAACCCTGGGACACACCCCAAGGGGGGGGGGGGGCTCTCCGGACGCACCCCTATGTATCGAGCACGGACGCCCACCCACGCCACTCGTGTGCTCCAGGGTTGGGCCCAGAATTCCTGGTCCGCGCGAAAACCCCACGGAGCTTGGGATTGGCCCAGACCCCCCGACGCAGTGATCTTTCGCAACGTCGACCCCCAGAGGTCTGGACCCCTTTCCCGGGACGGGCTTTTCATCATAAGTCGTTTTGTTGACGGTCTCGAGGCCCGGCAAGAACCCCCCGAGGCCGAAAATATTGAAAAACCTCCCGTCGTGTTTTTTTCACAACGCGAAGGGGTTAGGGTGGGTCGGCAGGTCCCTTGCTACTCTGGGGGAGAGGCGGAAGAGGCGGGACCCTGCCGACGGGGCGCCGTGCCGAGCCGACGTCGCCCGGGAGGGCGGGCGCCACGGCCCCTGGCTCTCATCGAGCTCCGGCCTCCGCGGCAGGGCATCCCGGCGGGTCCGCGGGCGCCCCGGGTCTGGGTCCGCGGGCGCCCCGGCATCGCTCGGAGGTGCGCATTTGTTCTCGGCGAGGAGCATCGACAGGGGAACAAAAAGTGGCATAACCATAAAAACTCTGAGGTCCGCGCGGGTTTCTCGGGTCGGCGCCGGGGCCCCCTGGCGGCGCCTCTGACGCCGCCCCTGGCGCGCGGAGCGCGCCAGGGAGGGGGTTCAAGCGCCGAACCTCCGAGTTCTCATGTCTATGCCACTTTTTGTTCCCCTGACGGAGGAGCAGCCCAGATGATGTGGCAAACCAGGCACGCACGAAATCCAAAGAACGCACGGGGAACGGACGCCCCAGCGATGGCAAGGAGCCGGAAGGAGACGCGCGCTTCAGTCAGGACGGGCCTCCTGAAGCCTGTCGCCAGAGGGTCCGCGGGGCCTGTCCTCGTCCGGGACGTCGCGGGGGATTCGAGGACGAGGAGGACGAGGAGGATGAGGAGGAGGACGAGGAGGGTCGGAAGGGACGGGGAGATGGGTCGAGCAGGGGCGGCTGGCCAGCGAGACTGCCAGAGATCACGATGAGGGTCTCACCTCTCCTCCTCCCTCCCGTCGTCGTCCTCCTCCTCCTCCTCTCCCTGGGCAGGGGTGCTGACTCCTCATGCGGGTTCTAGATTCTAGATCGCTGACAGTACAAATGGGCAATACATAGTTGTGAGAATCGAATATTTCTGGGAGGCTTTGGACCACCGTCTGGCAGGGCGCTATACACCGCAATTATATTTCATCGTCAGTATCGTCAATGCCGTCACTTTACGCCGTGGCCATTGCTGCCATCGCAATCGTCGTGTTGCCGCCATCATCACAGTCGTTTGGTCGTGCTCGTCGGCATCATCATCGTCGTCAGTGTCCTCGCCATACCAGTAGCGATGTCACCGTCGTTATCATCATCACAATGACTTCGTCGCCGTCGCCGCCGCTGAGCCGTACCCACCCTCCCTGAAGGTCCTGCAACTGGGATGGGACTGGACCAAGGTTGGACCGTCAAGCCGCAGACGTTTAGCGGACCTTGCACGGCGTAGTAGGATTCCCCACGATTCTTTTTTGAACTGATTGATCATTTTTGCGGAATTTTCGTAGGACGTGTTTTCAGGTATCATTGGGTAAAGTTCACTACCGATTTGGGGCTGAGTGACGTTTCAACCATTCAACCAACACGGAACTGCACTGGGACCGAACCCGGCTCAGATCTGGATTGGGACCAGATTGGGATTGGATTTGGGTAAGATTTTCATGTCGCCGATTTCCGTTGCTTATGTAAAAACACATAGGATACACGACTTGATCTCTTCTTATAGAAGGTCTACGCATCCTCACGGGGTGTTCAAAACCTCTTTTCAGGATACACGAGGTGAGGATTGTGGTCTCAAGGTCCAGCCCGGGTCCAGTCCAGATCCGGACCGGGGCTGGAGATTGAACCCGGGCTGGACCTTCAAATCGCAGACTTGTAGCGATTTTCCTGCAGGTTACATTAGAATTACTTACGTTTTCGATGCGCCAGGATGACTCATTCCTACGGGGTTCCAGGGACTTGGTCGGGACCAGGAAGCCATGGGAATTCGTAAGATCCTGCGGGGCAGTACAAGGAGAGCGTCCTGGCTGGGACTCGGAGGGGCTAGGACAAGGAGCCTTTGGAATATGTGAAAATATTCTAGGGCGGCACAGGGGAGCGCCTATGCTGGGACCGCGAGGGGCCAGAACCAGGAGGGGCTGGCCCCTTGCGATCGCGGGTTCGCTTCTTTTCACGGGGGCAGCCCATGCGATCGCGCCCCCTCGCCCTCCACACGAATTGTGCCACACAGGGAGCTCCGCCTCTGGCACCAGTGAGGGCGCCCGCATGAGGGCCCGCGAGCGCTTCGTCACACCCCTCACATGGATCGTGCCCTTCCGGGAGCCTCCGCTTGCGGCAACACGCCCGCTTGGGGGACCGCGCACGTTTCGGCACACCCCTCACACGGGCCGTACCCCACCCAGATGGAGCCCCACCTACGGCATTAGTGAGGACGCCCGCATGGCGGCCTCCGCTTACTTGGGCACACGCCTTACACAGATCGGCCGCATGGTTAGGGGAGCACCACTTCCGGCACCACCCAGGGGCCGCCCCAATTCCGGCACACTGCTGACGCGGATCGCGCCCCAAAGGGAGCTCCCCCAAGTAGAAAAGGGATCAGGAGGAGCAAATCAATTACCCAGAAACCTGATCGTTCGCCCGCGGCCATAAGGAACGAGGAGGGGGAGGAGAGGAGGAGGAGGAGGAGCGAGGAATAATGAAAGAAGGACGGGGGAGGAGAAGAGAATAGTAAGTGTTATTACATAGTTAATCCCGTCTGTGTGAAGACATAAGATCTAAGAGTGCAGAGAAACTGTTCCAGAATTCTTAGCAACAGCGCGCTTGAATTGCGTGCGGGATTTAAGTCCTAGACTCTAGACCAATATGATACAAGGGTGTTGGTTATAATATTTATCGTAACGTCTCCCTCTCGTCCCAGATCCCTGGATCTTAAAAACCAGGCGGGCTTGAAGGTTCAATCTGAAATCACCCCGTGCAGTCGCGGGCACCCAGCACGCATAACGATAGAGAGAGATGGGGAGACACACGTTGGAAGCAGCCAAAAATGTAGCTTGAAAGCTTTAGGGGACGAGGTGAGCAATGAAGTGATGAGAGAGAGATAGAGATAGGACTGAAGATTCATATGATTCAACATCAACGTGGCATGCACGCACTACTCTGGTATAGGTTATAGGTGGGGGGACCCTCAGAGGAATACAGACACCCTGCCAGGCAGCTCTCGGGCATTCCAACACGCCGCTGCCATGCTGGCAAGGCGGCGGAACTCTTCTCTCTATAGTATTCCTCGCCGCGCCAGCCTCCAAAGCCTCGTCATATAAGGGCGCGCTCAAATTGCAGCGGCGTCCGAACACAGACAGTGCACGGGCAGAGAGTGATGGCGATGAAACTTACCAGTTTCCAGACCGATGGGAAGAATAATCCACCATGCGAGAAGCGGTCGTTGATAAGTAGCCCGTTTATTCAGTCATCCTCTTCCATCAGACTGTCTCTCTCTCTCTCTCTCTCTCTCACTCTTTCTCTCTCTCTCTCTCTCTCTCCCCCCATTTCTCTCGCTCTTCGTCCTGCGCATTCCCCTCTCAGTCCAAGTCGTTGTCTTCCCGAATTCCTTCTCCATAGTGTTATCATTGCTATTGCTTAAACATTTAACTTTTCAGAAAAACGTATTATTATTTTTGCTTTTAATATCGTCACTATCTCCCCTCTCTTTCCTCTGCCTTCTGTTCTCCCTCAGCCACCCTGCGCTAAAGTGTTCCCTAGGCTCGAGCAAAGTGTGGAGCAGAGTGTTGCTGGAACTGCGCGGTGCTACCGCCATGGTTGCGTGCGGAGGCAAGGGTTGGACGTTTAGCATGCTTGGTGCACCGCAGTGCGTGCGCACTTCCATTGGCGATCTCAGCGAGCCCGTCTCTCTGCGCGAATTCGTGAAGAATGCTTGCCGCGGCGCTCAGGGCCAGAAGACTGTCGCCATAATCATGGATTGCCACGGGTCCCTACCACAGCTTGGCAGCGCAAGTCGCATTGGGGAACGCATCGCCAACGGGTAAATTAGAAAAACGCCCGCGGCGATTTGCCCGCGAGGGCCGCTGCCCGAGAATGCAAAGCTTTGTGCGTATTTTCAGGCGCTGGGAGATGGAACGTGCCAACCACAGTATAGATACGAAGGCGGCGGTCCAGTTGTGCACAGGCATGCCTCTAATTCCGGCGTTCCGTCCAGGTCCTTAGGCTGTGAAAAGAGCAGGTCAGTATTTATTCAGCCGCTTTCCAGGATACCACGTTCGTTGAGTTTCCGTTTCAAGTTGGTCTGGAAGAGACGCCCGTCTTGTTGCGCGCGGCAATGGTGCGCAGTCGTAGGTGGGGTCTTGAACGATGGCTTCAGGGCCAGCGCGGCGTTCACCAAAAAGCACGCGCCGGAAGAGGATGCGGAAAACAAGCATATCCTGAGCCTGGGGGTCTTCCAAACATGAATCTGGAGCACAAATTGCGGGTCGGCTTGGAAACAAGAGTTAGGCTCATGGCGCCCAACAAGACCAAGTCGAACGGCGGTGCAATGCCGCACTATGCTTTCCCGCTCCACGCGTACAGCTTGAAGCCAGTCGTGCGGCGTGATTACGTAGGGGCGGGGCGGCGTCGGCAAGACCCCACTGTCCATCATTATGGCTATGGGCGCGGGTAGGCAGGCACTCACAGGGCGACGCAGGCCCAAACCGCGGGACAATTTCCGCCACAGAGCTGGCAGGATTCAGGAACGGCCTTTCCGGGACGATCCGAACCGCGACAGGATTGACTTCGACGACCCCGAGGTTTTCATGACCGCGGAGGGAGAAAGCACGTGTCAAGCTCAGTACAACGACGTCAAGTTGGTCACAAACTATTCGCCGGTGCTCTTCCATTGGCTTCAACGCAGAGGGAAAGCCTCCAACATATGGCCGTAGCGTGACCGCGCCCAGCGAGTTCCACAAGCGCGTGAGCCAGTTCTTCTGCGGCGAGCGTCCCGCGAGTGTCTAGGCGGGGATGACAAGGTCTATCGTCATGGCGTTCGGCAAACACGGCTTCCACCTCCAGTTGCTGTCCACGTATGTTACCGCAGTAGTTCACCGCGTTGCCGACTTCGACGTGCATCAGGACGTCCTCTCCGAGGAGCACAAGCCGCTCCAAGGCGCTCAGAGCTGGGGGCCGCGCCTAGAAGCCCCCAGATGTCTATGCCGACGTGGAAAGGGAGCAGGAGATAATCGCGCTGGGCGTGTCGAGGAGTACATCTTGAGGTCCAACGAGAAGTTTTCGACGTATCCGGCGACGAGGCCGTCCTCGCAGCTGACGTTCCTGCCCGCGCCACAGCACGACGCAGGCGGGTTATTATCGCGCCACTTGCTGGCGATGGACCATAGATCATGCATGCGTGTTCCGCGCCGTTTGGGCGCTCGCGCGAGCGCTCAGGCTGCGCGGCGGATTTCGGCGCGCCCACTTTCCCGATGAGGGACACGAGGACGAGGACTACGCCAGAGAAGGGACCGCAAAGCGCCGCCAGTTCTCAAGCTGAGGCCGCCTCTCCTCGCGACCTTCACTTTGCCGCCGACGCCCCCGAGCAGTCTGCTCCCCCTAAACCGGCCGCGGCGGAGGACTGGTCCGGCGATGAGAAGGCCGCGCGGACCACAGCTCTGTGAGAGAGCAGAGATGTACAGGCGTATCGCCCGCGCGAACGAGTGCTCCCAGGACATATCTACAAGAGCACTCGGTCAGGAAAAAAAATCATACCATCGCCATCGCCATCCTCTCCCTCCTCGCTCCTCCCTCCTCATGTTTATCCTCCTCCTCCTCCTCCTCCACCCCGCTCCTCCCTCCTCCTTCCTCTCTCCTCTCTTGTTCCCTGCGCTCGCCTCCCTCCTCATCCTCCACTTCCTCCTTCTCCACCCCCTCCTCGCTCGCAGATGAGAGACAAACTAAGCGTTGCGGCCGCGCGTGGAGACAGGCGCAACTGTGACAGTGTGGAAGAAACCACAATACGCCATCGTCGCCGTCCACACCGCCGACCCATCGGCAATCTGCACATCGATCGCGTTCGGTCGCTCGCGGCCACGGGCGAGAGATGAGGCTTGACCCAACTTTGCTCCCCCGAAGAGACTGCATAATCACATGCTTGTTCATACAGAGCGAGCTTTCACGAGCCCACGCCCCCCTTGGGAAGGGGAGGAGGAGGAGGAGGAGGAGGAGGAGGAGGAGGAGGAGGAAGAGGAAGAGGAGGTGGAGGAGGAAGAGGAAAAGGAGGAGGAGGAGGAGGAGGAGGAGGTGTTTTTGTTGTGTTGTCGCGCTGGTGGCATTCTGCTACGCCCACCGGGTCTAACTACATGGCCACTGCGCCTGGACCGGTTGTTGTTTGTCTTCCCACAGGAACGCAACGGCCATTCCGTGGATGTTTACCTAACGTCACAAAGCGGAGGAGGAGGACGTCTCCTTCGTTTTGCGAAGCACGGCGTGCGATGGAGCGGGGAAGGGCGAGAGGAGAGAAGGAACCGCCACCCCGAGGTTCCCGCTAGGGAGCCCCCCAGTTTCCTCGGCCCCCGAAGGGTCGGAACGAGGCGCCACCAAGGGCGGGGAGGGTGGCAGGCTTCGCTTCCGCGGGGCAGCCATCGCTGCCTCCGAGGCTGCGGAAAGAACGCGGGCGTGATTGACATCAAGGCTCGCACGCGACGGGCCCGAGTAGCTAGGGCACAGGCCCTTGCGAATTCGATTGAGATTAACCAACCCCTTGTTCGCGGCTGGCTTGCACTCGGGTTTTATTTGGCGGCCGTAAACAGCCGCGGTGCGTCCGCACCGAAGGCAAAAAGAAAGCGAGCAAAGGTCCCAGAAGGCCAGCCTGTGGGAGAGGTCGAGAGCCTGCCCTCCAACCTCCACAGGGACCCTCGGCTGCCAAAGCCGCATGCCGAGGGAACCCAAAGAGGTCGAGCTCGGGCGAAACATTCCGAGTGCAAGGCCTCGAGGAGGCTCCGCTTCTGAGACACCAGCCCGCACTTGAGGCAGGCGAGAGCGGACCCGCGAGTCTGGAAAGTATGAGAGCTGTCTCTGGCGGCCCGCTCCAGACGCGCGCCTCGCCTGGAGCAAACTCCAGGAGGGGCTTTGGATCTCTACGAAGACGCGGACGAGGACGAGGAGGAGGAGGAGGAGGAGGAGGAGGACGAGCACGAGGACGAGGACGAGGTGGTCGAGGACGAGACGGTCGAGGACGAGGCCGCCCTGGGCCGCCGCAGGCGCCCTCCGTGCCGGGCAGGGGCTCCGTCGGCCCGGGCAGGACTTCGGGCCTGATGCTGAAGCGCGACCCGGCGGGGATGCGGCGCCAGCGCCTCGGCTCTGGTCGGCCACGCGCGGAGGGGGGTACGGTAGGTTCGCGTCGCGTCGACCGGTGGCGACCCCGCCGTTGGCGTTCAAGGTTGAACGCCGTTGGCGACCCAGCATCGGTCGGTTTTGAACGATCTTACGTTTCGGAGGCGGCCGATCGTTCCAGGTTGAACGATCCGCGCGGTGTCAGGAACCAACGCTGGGGTCGACACGACACGAACCTGCAGTGGTGGGAGGGAGAGGGCTTCTTAGAAGCACCCCTGGTTCTCAGAGTTAAGTCGGGCATGTCCCCTTACAGGAGGAACGTTCGAAAATAGTTCAAACAAATAGTAGAATAGGGAACGAATGTTCTAGTGTTTTTGACTATGTTTGAATATGGGTTGACTATGTTTTATTTGTCTTCCCAAATCTGCCTGGAGAAGGACATGCCCGACCTAATATTAGAGGGCGCGGGCCTTGTCTGTAGATGTAAGGCCCGCGCCTTCTGAGAAGCAGGCTTCGGGGGTGGACAGAACCCCCACCCTGACACGTCGATTAGTGAATTGTCGGTTTTCGGTTCTCGAGAGGGCGCCGCGGCCGTCATTTTCCAGGCTTGCGCCCGCCAGGTTTGGGCCCGAGGTCGTTTTCACTAAACCACGTTTTGCCAGAGGGGCTCCTGTCCATCCCGGCCACCCCTGTGCCTCCCGAGTGGGATCCGAGCCGATGGGGTCGGGGCGTCGCATGCAGAGATCACCCGCCGCCATAGGGGACGGGGGTCCTGAAGGAGACGGGGTCCGGCGGCCTTCCGTTCTCTTTTCCGCCCCTCGGGGCCCTTCCCTAGGGGAACGAAGAATGACATAAACATAAAAACTTGGAGGTCCCGCGCGGGATCGCCTCGGGGTGCAATGACGGGAAGCGCGCTAAGGCTCGAAGAGTCGCGCGATGGACGTTCTCTCGGCCAGAGGCAGTATCAACTGGGGGGGGGTCTGGGGGGGGAACGCGCGGGAGGCACTCGTGGTCGGGGACGTGGCGGATTACGGGAAGCGCCTTCTCGGAACGAGAAGGTGCTGGCAGTTTGTTAGGCTAAGCTTTCTAAGAGTAAAGAAAGGACTAAGACGCGAGGGACCATGACCGCCTGATCGCAAATACTTTTTGCTTGGCGCATTCGCTTGGCAGATTCCCCCTTTCCCCGTTTTTGGCAGTTTTCCGTCGGATGTTTGCGTGTTTGTCGGGTTTCCCCCCGTTTTGGGCAGTTTTCCTTTGGGTTGTTGCATGTTTGCCTGGTTTTCTCGTCGTGTTTGGCAGTTTCCCCTCGGGTTTTTGCATCTGGTTCGGGTTTCCCCCTCCGTTGTTGGCCGGTTTCCCTAGGGTTGTTGCATGTTTTCGGGCTCCCCCCCCAAGACTGGCCGTTTTCCTTCGGGTGTTTGCATGTTGTTCGGGTTTCCTCCCCGTTTTGGGCAGTGTTCCTTCGGGTTGTTGCACGTTTTTCCGGGTTTCCCCCCACCAGTTTGAAGACCCTGAAGCATGCCAAAACATTGTTCTCGGGATTCCAGCGCTACGGATCAACCTGACGGTTGCGTTGTGACAATCCAGAATCGCGCCAGAACGCCATTCTTGGGACTTCAGCACTGCGAAGCAACGTAACTGTTGCACCCTCATAATTCTGAATCGGTCCAAAACACCGCTTCTGGCACGTTGATCATCGGTTTCCGTGAAACTCTTGCAACGTTTTAAAACGAATGTACGCGGTTCTACAGCGATAACCACATTTTGAAAAGGAATCGCCCGCAATCTATGAAACCCTTGCATACGTTTGAAACGAATCTCCGCGGCACTACGGCGAGAGCCACATGTTGGAAAGGAGCTGCCCTCTGTCTGTGAAGCTCTGGCACATACTGTATTGAAAAGAATGCGCGCGGCGCTAAGGCGAGATCCACATGTTGAAAACAACCCGCCCTCAACCCGTGAAGCTCTGCGCTAAGGCGAGAGCCACACTTTGAAAACGACGTGCCCTCCATCTGTGAACTCTTGTCGATGTTTAAGCTCCAGGCTCGAATGGAGGAGGAGGAGGAGGAGGAGGAGGAGGAGGAGGACGACGAGGCCTGACAGCCGAGAATCGACGGGTGAGGGGCGCGCAGGCGGCCTCAGGCACTGGGAGACAGCACTGCTTAAGCAGAAAGTGTCGGAGGTCTGCGCGGATTCTTTGGATTGGCGATGCGCGGAGCGCGCCAAGGGCGGCGCTGGAGGCGCTGCCAGGGGGGCCCAGCGCCGATCCAAGAGATCCGCGCGTAAATACTTCCCGCTCGGCCCCGAGACGAGCCAGTCCTTCCCTTAACGTGGCCCCAGGACGACGACGACGACGACGACGACGACGACGACGACGACGACGACACGTCTAAGCGTGCCCTGAGGCGAGCAGCAGGTGGGCCAGACGCTGCGGCTTCTGGAGCACCTCATATGGAAGGATCCCGGGCTCCGCGGCCTGCTGCAGTCGGAGGGCCTGAGGCAGCTCTCGCGTGGGGGGGGGGGGAGCACACGGGAAGCAGGCGGAGGAGTGGAAGAGGGAGGGGTGGAGGAGAGGGAGGGAGGCAGGAGAGGGAGGCAAGGGAGGGGAACGAGTCGAGGCAGGGAGGGAGAGGGAGGTACGAGAGGCAGGAGCTGAGGAGGACGAGGCAGGGGAGGAAGGAGGGCGGGGAGAGGGGAGAGCGAGGGGAGGAGGAGCAGGCGAGGGAGGAGGGAGAAGTGGAGGACTGAGGGGCGACTAGCGAGGAGGAGCAAAGAGGAGAAGATGAAAGGAGGAGTGAAGGGCGATGGGGTTGTCTTCCATCTCCACCTCGCTCCTCCTCCTCCTCCTCCTCCTCCTGCTCCTCCTCCTCCTTCTTCTCCTTCTCCTCCTCCATTCCTTTTCCTTCTGAGTAATTTCTCCCTGTCGCACCCCGAGGCCAGTCAGAAGGGCGGCCGGGCGTTTCGCCTGAGACTTCTTCACACGTGTGAACCTGAAGCTTCAAAACGGGCAGCAGCTTCACAGATGGAGGGCGGGTGGTTTTCAAAATGTGGTTCTCACCTTAGCGCCGCGCACACTCATTGCCAAACATGTGAAAGCTTTACATATTGAGGGCGGGTTGTTGTCAAAATGTGGTCCTTGCTGTAGCGCCGCGCACATTCAATTTTAGAGTTTGCAAGAGCTTCACGGACTAAGGGCGGGTGGTATTCAACATGTGATTCTCGCTTTAGCGCCATGTCCATTCATTTAATACACTACAAAGGCTTCACGCATTGAGGGTGGGTAGTTTTCAAAATGTGGTTCTCGCTTCAGCGTCGCGCACATTCATTCAAACAAATCGCAAAGAGCTTCACGGATTGAGGCGGGTACTTTTCAACATGCTGTTCTCGCATCAGCGCCGCGCACAATAGTTTTTGTTAAAACAGTTTTTAGAGTATCATGGATGCTCGTGGTTAACGTACCAGAAGTGGTGTCTCGGAACGATTTCGGATTGTCAGGGCGCAACAGTTACGTGATTCGCGGCGTTGAAGTCGCAGGACTGGTGTCCTTGCACGTTTCATGATCGCCAAGACGCAACAGTCAGGTAGATTCGTGGCGTTGAAGTCCTGAGAATGGCGCTTGGGCACGCTTCTAGATTTTCATTCGGTTGTCCCCCAACCGTGCAATTCCTTCAGTAGCAATGACTATGTGTTGCACTGGCATGTGAAGAGGGAGTTTGGAGGCAGGATCGACTCAATTATTTGTGGTGGATCTTAGGTGTACGCTGGTCCTCCTCCTCGTCCTCCTGCTCCTCCTCCTCGTCCTCCTTTTCCTCCTCCTCCTCCTTCTCCTCCTCCTCTTCCTCCTCCGCATCCTCTTCACTCCTCACCTATCACTCATCAGTCCCCACTCTTCACTCCCAACACATCAGTCCTCCGCCTCACTCCTCCTCCTCCTCCTCCTTCTCCTCCTCCTCCTCCTCCTTTGGCTCAAGTCCTGAGCACACCGCGGGAGGCGCAGGACCCAGCATTGCCTCCCAGGACAGGCCCTGGCAGATAGGGCCCGAGCAGGCCCCCCCGTGGCCTTTTCGGCACCACGTCTCCGCTGTCTCAGCCCCAGGTCTCGCGCGCGTCTCCCAGCCGCAGGGTTCACAAGACACGAAGGCCAAGCAGCAGAAGTACAGCCGGCCCGGATTAGTAGGTCGACCCTGCCAGCTCAAGGGTATTATTGTGTCCTGTGCCTCGCGACATGTGCCTTATTACATTCCTGTGGCGATGTGGCCTTCGGAAGGGTCTTGTGTCCTCTCGCGTGTCCTCTCCAATCAAGTCCGACTGTACATCATGTGTTCACGTCGTGGTTGCAGCGGCTGGGTGTGATGTTCTTCTAATGCTAAGCGTTGCGTGCAATGTGGCGGCCGCATCAAGCATCAGCAGCAGCAGCAGCAGCAGGAGTCTCAGAGCAGCTCCCGTGGGCCCCCCAGCGGTTTCAGTGGCGCGGGCGAGTCGTGGGAGGGACCCCCCCCAGCCAGAGCGGCTCGACAAGCCAGGCCGCTGGCGAGAATGAGACCGCTCACGGCAGCCATCTCGTCCGCCAGGATTACGTCGAGTCACCGTCACAGACTGCGACGAGCATCAGCCCCATGAGGAAGATCCAGTGGCATTGGCTCAAGCCCAAGTCAGTTTTTCGAAGGAGTAGAAGCCCAATGGTGAGGAGCACACAGCAGCGACGGGCAAACTCAAGCAGGCCAAAGCACCGGTCTTGGCATCCAAGTCGCTTGAGCAGCAGGCCCAGTCCCTCTCGGACCACCTCGAGGCCCAGCGCCAGAAGTACGAATCGCAGTCAGCCAAGCTCAAGCAGCTCATGGATTCTATCATGGATGCCAGCGAGAAGCACGGCAAGCTCGTCGGAGAGACGCAGAGCACGCAGCTGGAGATCCAGACCCTCGAGCACCAGTTCAACATGGCCAATCAGGCCGCCATGCAGGCGGCCACCAAGGACGGCAACCTCTCGTCCACCCTGCAAGGGGTCCTGGCAGCGAGAATGCCCCCAGGCAGCACTGCGCCGCCCGTCCTGCGCTCGAAGGTGGCAGAGCTCGCGGCAGTCTTCGACGACCTCACATCCCAGCATGCCCAAGCTCAGGCTATTGGTGGTGCGGACGCGTACGTGTTCCCAGGCGTCGGCGTGCTCCTGACGAGCCCCCCCCAACAGCAGCTGCTGGCGGCGGCGCTGCTGCGGCGGCCGCGAGCACGCCGGAGGGCGGCGCAGGCACAGCAGCGCCCGCCGCCGCTGGCGAGGGCGAGCACGCCCCCTGCCCGCAGGACGAGGAGTTCGACAGCGACAACGGCATGGACGAGTCCAGCTCCCTGGCGCGCGCGGCGGCCGCCCTGGAGGCAGTCGCAGAGGGCGCGGCCGCAATGCAGGGCGAGGACGGGCCCGACGTCAAGAGGGCCAGGGCCGCAGCGGCGGCAGCAGCAGCAGTCAAGGCAGAGACTGCATCGTCGCCGCCATCTGCCTGGCAATCGATACACCATCGCCACGGTCAATGGATCGTGCTGGGGTGCAGTGAGAGCTTGAATTGAGCCAGACACTGCTGAGAGTTTCAACTTTACCTGCGCCCAGGAGTGCAGGTTAGAAGCAGGTGGCCACCTTGTTCGTCAGATAAAATGGTGTTTCGCACGAGGCTGGCTTGCCCACATTTCTCCCGCCGTCAGGAACCCCTTCAAGTGAATTAGTCTCGGGGGTGGCGGTGCTCGTTCGGGGCATCTTGGACCTGGGGTCCCAGCCGCTCGGGATGCCTCCAGGGACGGACAGCTGAAGGTTAGCTGGAGTTGTCATAGATGCGCCAGGGGCCCCAGCTTTCGGTCTGGTGGGCGATTATGTCCAAGTCTCTTCTGGTCTCTGCGAGACCAGATAAAATCTTCCAGCCGCCATGAGCCACATCCAGGATCTAGTTGCTAAGCCGCTCATTGTTGCGGGAGACTTCAATCTGCAGCCATGGCGACTCCAGAAGGATTCGAATTTCCTCACTCGCGCTGGCACGCAGCATGCGGCACCCACTGCCGCCGCGCACAGAACCAGGGCAGCCAAAAGTTGGGGCTCCTGTAGGGGCCTCTTGGGCGCCGCCGCCCTTTCGCTGGCCAGGGCGGGGTGGAGTTGCCTTGGTCCTTTCAAGTTTCTGTCGCCTGCAGGACTCGTGCACCCCCTTCCCAGGAACCTCCCCGGTGCACGTGGCCAAGCTCCTCGAAATCGCTTTGCGCGATCAGTTGGCCGAACGAGCTGCCGCCAAGATAGAATGCCCGGGCGAGCAGCTTCAGGCCTCAGCCGCCCGCGCGGTGCTCAGCTCGCCCGACCTGTCTAAGCAGCAGCGCGAGTACATGGACTATGGAGCGTGCCGAATCCGCTGGATACGACGCGCCCCAAGGATGCCTCTGTGGTCACCATAAAGATGATCTCCAGCACCGCCCCCTGGAGTGCCCCGAGATCGACAGCTCCAGATCGGGTTTTACCAGCGGGGAGCTTCTTAGTTGGAAAGACCCCACCCCGAACACCCCCTGCGCCTTGGCGCCCAATGCGCCCCCAATTTCGCGGGGGGCCCACCGCCTGGCACTGGTCTGGAATCCGCTCGGTTTTGGCGTCGAGACCCCAATGTGATGCCAGAGGAAGCTTTCGCGGGATGCGTTTTTTATATAAAAAATGGATGGCAGCTGCACGAGCAACCGGCACCGCAATTGCAATGTTGTTGGTTTTGCCGCTGTTTGCATGGCCAACGGTGAAGAGTTTGCCACGTTCAGCGGCCGCGTCGGAGCCCTAGGATCCCAAACCTCCAGCGCTGCCGAACATCTTGCCGCTGTCGCGGCTGGCCGCCTATCTCCCATAACCGATGATATATATATATATATATATATATAGAGAGAGAGAGAGAGAGAGAGAGAGACATATAACGGCGCACCGGGTCCGGGGGCCCGGGGCCGGGACCTCGACCGCAAATGTGGGCCCCGGGGGGCCCAGAGGCTCGTCGGACCGCCGGACGCCGTCCAAGATCGTTCGCAGGCGGCTTCGGAACGCGCCCCGATGGCTCCAGATGCCTTCCAAGACGCCTGTCATGACACCAAGGCGGTCCCAGAAGCCTCCAAGACGTTCCGAGAGGCAGCCCAAGAGAGGCCCAAGAAGCAAAAATCGTGCCATTCCTATGAGAAAACGTATATGTTTCGCATGTTCGCATCTTGGGCTTTCACCGCGTCCAAGACGGCCCAAGAGGCCTCCAAGACGGCCTAGGAGGCCTCCGGGAGCGCTCCAAGGCTGCACACGAGTGGCTCAGGACGGCCCCAAGACGGCCCAAGAGAGCCCCAAGACGAGCTCGAGAGGGGTCCCAGACGGAGAAAGCCAACCTCGAATTCCGAGCTTCCGGCCCAAGAGGCTCCAGGAGGCGCCAGAATGCCGCCAAGAGGCGCCACAAGGCTCCCAAAAGCACCCCAAGACGTTCCGAGAGGCACCCCAAGAGAGGTCCAAGAAACAAAAATCGTGTCATTCCTATGAGAAAACGTATATGTTTCGCATGTTGGCATCTTGGGCTTTCACCGCGTCCAAGACGGCCCAAGAGGCCTCCAAGACGGCCTAGGAGGCCTCCGGGAGCGCTCCAAGGCTGCGCACGAGTGGCTCAGGACGGCCCCAAGACGGCCCAAGAGAACCCCAAGACGACTTCGAGAGGGGTCCCAGAAGGAGAAAGCCACTCTCGAATTCCGAGCTTCCGGCCCAACACATCCCAGGAGGCGCCAAAACGCCGCCCAGAGGCGCCAAAAGGCTTCCAAAATCAGCCCAAGACGTTCCGAGAGGCACCCCAAGAGAGGTCCAAGAAGCAAAAATGGTCCCATTCCTATGGGAAAACGTATATTTTTCGCATGGTCGCCTGTGGGTGCTCACCGCGTCCAACACGTCCGAAGAGGCCCCCAAGACGGCCTAGGTGGCCCCCAAGAGCGTTCCAAGACGGTTCACGAGGCGCCCAGGACGGCAAAATTGGATTCCAAAATGGCCTAAGAGAGCCACAAGGCGTGCCCGAGAGGGGTCCCAGAGGGAGAAAGCCACTGTAGAATTCCGAGCATTCGGCCCCAAGAGGCTGCAGGAGGCGCCAAGAGAGCTCCAAGAAGCCCCCACGAGAGACCCAGGACGCCCCAAGAGGCTCCAAAGGCGGCCTAAGAGAGCCCCAAGATGGGCCCGAGAGGGGTTCCACGCAAGTTGTTATTGTATCGCTCGGGAAAGGACGAGGATGAGGAGGAAGACGAGGAGGAGGAGGAGGAGGAGGAGGAGGAGGAGGAGGAGGAGGAGGAGGAGGAGGAGGAGGAGGAGGAGGAGGAGGAGGAGGAGAGGGAGGAGGAGGAAGAGGAAGAGCAGGAGAAGGAGGAGGAGGAGGGGTGCTGTGGACGCCGCCGAAGCTTCCCGGGGAGTCCTGGGGGCACCTTGGTCGAGGGCCCCTCGTCGCAGCGGCCGGGCGCAGCCCGAAGCGTTGGAGCGTTCGGAGTCCCGGGGTCGATTTTGAGACGACTTTGCGTTTCCAGTGTCTCGCCCTTCTCCTCGACAGTCGAAGGCCAGGCTGACAGATTGCCTTGGGTTCCAGGGGCCACTCTGGCGTGGCCAGGTTGGAGGGTTTTTCCTTGCTCGCCAGTCTGTAACCTCGCTGGCTCCCTCGCCAGATTGCCAATTTTTGCCAGAATGGGGCCGCCAGACTGGCGCCAGATTGGCTTCGACTTCGCGTCCCAAGATTTCAGTGTCTCGCTCTTCTCCTGGACAGTCGAAGGCCAGACTGACAGATTGCCTTGGGTTCCAGGGGCCACTCTGGCGTGGCCAGGTTGGAGGTTTTTCCTTGCTCGCCAGTCTGTAACCTCGCTGGCTCTCCGCCAGATTGCCAACTTTTGCCAGATTGGGGCCGCCAGATTGGCGCCAGATTGGCTCCGACTTCGCGTCCCAAGATTTCAATGTCTCGCCCTTCTCCTGGGTAGCCGAAGGCCAGACTAACAGATTGCCTTGGGATCCAGGGCCACTCTGACGTGGCCAGGTTGGAGATTTCTACTTGCTCGCCAGTCTGTTACCTCGCTGGCTCCCCCGCCAGATTGCCAATTTTTGCCCGATAGGGGCCGCCAGATTGGCGCCAGATTGGCTTCGACTTCGCGTCCCCAATTTCTTCTCACAACGATTCCTGGGTCTGTGACTCGACAGAACCTAAGCGCGCGCGAAGCGCGCGCGTGGTTCTAGTATATATATATATATATATATATATATATATACATGCATATATATATATATACATACAAACACACACTCTGATTACAAAAGGTTCTACAGCTGCGCGGCAGCGCAGGGTACCTGCGCAAGAATAGATGCGACGGTTTCAAAGTCCTCGCGGGCGGAGGTCACTGTTGCCTTGGCCCCAGGCTCCAGACAGTCAAGGCCCACCAGAACCTTCACGTTCCAGCCCCACATAGTGAGGAATACCGCCTAGCGCTCGGCAGTGATGCCACGGACAAAGTAGCCAAGGCCGCCTCGAACGTCCGCTGCCGACCCAGTCTCGCCGAGGCAAAGCAGCATCAAAGCGACGCGGCTCTGCGTGAGAAGTACCTCAGATACGTTGCCAAAGCCTTCGGGGAGTGGCCCGCGATTGTCCCGCGTAGGAACAAGGCGCTGGCTAGGCCCGTCAAGAGCCTCTCCCCTCCCTCGGGGATTGCCTCGGCCTTGGCCTCCTGGGACCCTGGGGCCCCGCCGCCCCCCCCTCCCCCTCCGCCTCCCGCGGGCCCTCGAGTGCTCCCGAGGGCCCATGTATGGGCGACTGTTAAGGGGTAGCGCCGCTCCACGATCTGCCGCATCCGCGTCCGCTCGACCAAAGCTATGGAGGAGCAGCGGAGCAGCATGGGGCCATGGATTGCCTTGGACATTGCCCTCAGATGTCCGGCCTTGCCTCCAACCCCCGGGGCCATACCATCTATTAGTGTGGACACCCAGAGCAACCCACAAGCATCTTAGCGCGTCACGCGCGCGGTTCTTTCAAGGAAGGCAACTCGAGAGGTCTCACGGGCAACTGCAATCCAAGACCGCCCCACAACGGGGCTAAGCTACAGCTGCAGCGGGCGCAGTCGGGCCGCCTCCCCAAGAGCGCCGCGGCCAGCACGATCGTGCTAGGCCTCCCTACAGCGCCGCTGGCGCAGCTGCTCAGAGAAGCAGCCCAAGCCAGGCAAGAGGAGGTCGCCTCACCATAGTGGCTTTGTGGCCCTTTCACTCTTCCAAGATTCCAGTCTGTGGTTTCAAGATGCTCGGGTCGGGATCGGGCCCCCGCCGAGGGCCTCTGGCCCCTAGCCTTGTGGGACGAGACGGGGCTTCAGGTCACGTTTGAAGTCGGTTCAAGGCGACCCTTGCACCCTCTGTTGCTAGATTGGCCCACACCAGGGGCGAGGCCTGGAGCCGTCCTGACGTTCCCTACACCAGGGGTGGCGTTGCCTCGTCGTCCTGGCGTCGCCATGTGATTGTTTCGCGCGTGTGCGTGAACGTGCGCGCGCAGTGCTGTAGTCTGCCTGCACGTGTGCCAGGCACCCCGCCTCAGGGGGAAGGTGCGCACACCCGCTGGACCCCTCATAGCCTTTTTCAGCGTCGGCAGCGTCCTGCCGTCTCTGCGGCCCTGGCTCCTCGGCCGCAGTGGATAAGACAGGTGGCACAGCGCCACGAGGTTTCGGGTTAGGGTCGGGTCGGCCAACCCTTAGCTTCCCTTATCAGCCAAGTGATGGTCCTCCTCCTCCTCATCCTCCTCCTCCTCCTCCCTCTCGTCCTTCTCCTCCTACTCCTCTTCCTCCTCGCCCGCCTCCGCCTCCTCTTTCTCTTTCTCGTCCTCCTCCTCATCATCATCATCATCTTCCTCTTCCACCTCCTCCACCTCCTCCTGCTCTTCTCTCCACCTCCCTTCCCCTTCCTCCTTGACGTCCTCTCCTCCCCGTTTCCCTCCGCCACATCCTCGGCCCTCCGCGATTTCCTTTCGTCTGATCCGCCTCACCCTAATGATTACCCCCTCGTCCATCTCTTCTCTTCTTCTGCCTCACCTTTGAGCAATACTGAAGGCCTCATTTCCGCGCCGCGCAGACGGCAACAAACAGGCTGTGCTGCCCAGCGATTGCGAAGAGGGCGAGATAAAGAGAAGGAGAGAGACAGAGAGAGAGGGATATATATACAGGCAAAGAGAAAGAGAGAGAGAGAGAGAGAGAGACAGCGAGACAGAAAGAGCACACGAGTTCACAGAGTTCACTGTAGTCCAATGGTCCGGCCAGGACATTGCACAAGTCCGCAACATTGATGGCATTTGGGCCAGTGCCACGGCACGTCGAGAGGAGGGGGGGCCCAGACGGACACAGGCGCTCCTGCTTGCGGCACATGGGGCCCTGAGCTACGCCACGAAGCGGCGAGGAAACGTGGCGACTGGTTTCCGGGCGCGGGCGACGTGACCAACGCGCCTAGCCGCGAAGGGCATAGCGGCAGGAAGCGTCGCAACCCGCCCCGAAATGCCCCCCAACATGTGGGCGACGCATGCACGCACGCTTGGGTCACGGGCGCTTCCGCCACGGAGGGCGTCAAACCCACAAAGCAATTCGTGAGTTCCTATCCCTCGGGTTGCTGCGAAGGGAATCGCGGAGTCAAGGCTGACTAGCCCGTGGGTCCGACGGCCTGGCACGGCCTTTCGGGGGCGAGGCGCCAAGTCCGACGTCGTGGCCGCCGATCAGCCGTGAGGATCCGCGTCGGCGCCGGGGGGCCGTGGGGCCCCGCCCGGGTGTGCGAGTAGGGGGGGCGTCTGCGCCACCTGCATCTTTCAGCCTAGATGTCAGCTGCGTCGGACGCTTGCTGGGAGTCGTGTCTTCTGCCTGTGCCCACGAAGGTGGGCATTCTCTCTACGCAGTGTGCCCAGCAGGTTATCACCGCTGGCTGCAACCCAGCGAGGGTGCCCCGTCTCGCCTAAGGCAGCGCTAGCCAGGGATTGGTCCGGTGCGCCACAGTTGTCCTGACCGGCCCATGCTGGAGGACCCCACAGCGCGCCTACGATTGACGGACTGCCGAGGCACGGCCGAGGCCCCACCGCCGCCAGGGGCCCGAGCGATGGCGGGGACCCGCTTCGCGCGGAAGTGCCGCGTGGCCGCGGAGGAGAGTCGGCGTAGATTAGAGATGCAGGAGTGGGTTCGGTGGAAGCCTCGCCTGGCCGCGCTGCGCGAGAAAAATGAGAGCGCACCCCCTCGGGAAGACGCAGGCTTGCATGGACGTGGGATTGGCATCACGGTCCGCACACGCATCAACACGATGAGGTCGCACGCGCGTGCCATGGAGACGATGAGCAGGTGGCTTCCGCGCGCGCACGGGGCCCCGCGGCCCGCGACGATCGCGCACTTCATAGACTGCGCGCACGCCACGGCGGCCGACCCGCGGGGGCCGAGGGCACCCCACAAGATTCTGCGCGCACTGGTCAGGACGGAGCGGGCCGTGGGCATCGGTACGAGCGACAGGCTTTCCGCCCAGCTGGAGGTGCAGCAGTAGCAGGTCGTCGCGAGCGTGGAGATGCTCCTCGGCGCGGGCAAGGGACTCACAACGAGGGCAGCACGTTTCCCCAGCGCGTTCATCAGAGCCATGGAACGGCTCGTCATGGGCGACGGCCTCGCGCGCCGTACCTGCGCGGGGTGGCGTGGCTTCGCCTCGTCAAGGTGCGGGCGGTGCTACGTTGCGACGACCACAGCCGGCTCCCGCCGCAGAATCTCGCTTTCGTGGACGAAGGGCTAACGGCCACGCTGGGACGAACGAAGACCAGCGGAGCAGGGCGTAAGATGCCGGAGCTTCCGCTAGTGGTATCCCGAGAGTGCTACATGCTGGCCCCAGATTGGATCCAGGTGGGCGTCGACGTGTGGCAGGGGATCGCAGATTTCGAGAGGGGCTATTTCCTGCTGAGATGCGACGACGCGGGGCTGGCGTTAGTCCGCAAACCTGCTAGGCACGCCGAGGCATCAGCAGCGACTCAGGAGGAGCTCCGGAGGATGCTGAAGCCAGCGGCGTGCACGGGGAAGGTGTTCGAGCTCCTCTCCGAGGAGGTCGCGGGTTTCTGGGCCGAGCACTCGAGGCGGGCGACGACCCAGAGATCCGACGTCGCGATTTTTTCAATACGCGGTCCCAGGACCGGTTTTTCATCCTGAGTCGTTTTGTTGACGGTCCGAGGGCCCGGCGAAGGCCCCTCGAGGCCGAAAATTACGAAAAACCTCCGTCTTGATTTTTCAATGCGCTGGATCTCTGGGACCCCCTCAGCCACAGCGGCATCCGGGGTCTCGTAGAGCGACCGCGACTACCCAGGCGGGCAGTCGCTGGAGGGGGCGGACAGCTACGCGAGGGCACGCCGCGCCGTCGTGACCAAGGCGGAGGGGGAAGGGGGAAGTGGACAGAGACGAAGGGAGGGGATCGGGATAGGTCGATTGTCATCCTCCTCATCCTCTTCCTCTCCCTCCTTTGATTCATCCTCCCCCTCCTCCTCTTCCTTCTCCTCCTCGTCCTCCTCCTCCTCTTCCTCCTCCCCTTCCTCATCATCGTCATCATCATCAGCATCATCATCATCATCATCATCATCATCATCATCATCATCATCATCATCATCATCATCATCATCATCATCATGATCATCAGTACTGTATCCTCTTCATTCGCTTGACCCGACGGCGGGGGGGACGCGGGGTGGACCTTCGCGATGCTCCTCCCCTCCGCCTCTCCGCACCGCTCGCCCCCGCCCCCCTTCCCCCAGGGATCCCCGCCAGCCCGTAGAAGCCAGAGGGCGCGATGGTCACCCTCGCGATGCTCTTCCAGCTCCGTTCTCTCTTTTTTCATGTGTTCTCTCTCTCTCTCTCTCTCTGCCTTTCCCAGACATGGACAAGAGCCGAACCCGCCCGTGCAGGCCGGAGGACGTGAGGGTAACCTTCGCGATCGCCATGACGGGGCCTGGCACGGCGATGCTGGAGTTCGTCGAGGACGCCCAGACATTGCGGGACGTTCGGGCCCACTACGGCTCGCCGCTGGGGACAGGCAAGAGCCGCAGGGTTTGGGCAGGGGGAGCGTGAGGAGGAGGAGGAGGAGGAGGCGGAGGAAGAGGAAGAGGAAGAGGAGGCGGAGGTGGAGGAGCGGTAGAGGGAGAAGGAGGGCAAGGACGAGGTCCGGCAGCGGAGGGAGAGGAGGAGCGGAAGGGAGAGGAGACGGAAGAGGACGAGGACGAGAGTCAAATTCCCGCGGGTGGCAGGTGGACGATCCAATTGACCCCGCAGAGGTGCGGGCCGATGAGCCCCGCTGAGCTGGCCGGCACTGCCACGGAGGGGTAATTGAGCGCATCGATGTCATTGGGCCAATTGCTGCTGCCGCGCGCATCTGAGATTTACAATGCCAACGGGCCAGAATTTCGAGCCTTGACTGGTGGAGGAGGGGGTCTCTCACTGCGTCGCCGATGCCTCGGCGATGCATCGGCGACGTCGTGGTGGAGAACGTCGGAGCTCCGTAGTAGCGCCGCACCGCCGAGGAATCGGCGATGAGGCTCGATCCTGCGACTCCATCTGCTCGGGCCCAGTGTGGGCGGCCTGGAACCATTGGTATTCACCGAGCGCGTTCCGCTCCTCGCAAAGTGCCTACTCGCAAACGCCAGCCAAAAAACACACAAAAAAAACGTGGCGTTCACAATGTAATGATTCGTAAATCCTGCGCGGCGGATCCAGGCCATTTGCGAGTAGCTACTTTGCGAGTAATGGAACGCGCTTGTCTAGGTATGAAGGAAACGGGCTCCTCCTCCTCTTTCTCCTCCTCCTCCTCCCTTCTCCTCCTCCCTCCTCCTCCTCCTCCTCCTCCTCCTCCTTCTCCTCCTCCTCTTCCTCCTCCTCTTCCTCCTGTTCCTCCTCCTGTTCCTCATCCTCCTCCTCCTTCTCCTCCTGTTCCTCCTCGGGGGCCGGGGCCCTGGAAGTTCTCGCCGTGTTCGGGCCCTCCGCGTGCCCCCAGCACCGTCCAACAAAAAGACTACTCGGGATGCAAAAAAACAGAAACAGCCAGGTTGGTTTCGCTTTGTTTCTGGGAGTGTTCTGTGTTCCGTCTTCGATTGTTTCTGTCATAGGTTTTTTGTCTCCGGTTTTGTCTGGACGGCTTCTGTCTTTTGTTTCTGGGTTGTTCTTGTTTGGTTGTCTGTTGCTTTTGATGTTCGATTGTTTGTCTTGTTTTTTTTCTGTCTTGGGTTTGTGTGTTGTCTTTCGTGGGGCAAGTCCAGACCTCTGACGTCGTAGTTCGGTTACAGCATGGACCCCCCAGAGGTCTACACCCCTTTCTGGGACCAGCTTTTCATCCCGATTCCATTTGTTGACGACGAAAATCACAGTAGTTGAAGGTCAATTACCTTGCCTCTCAGGGTGCCGGTCTAATGACGTGCGGCTTGGTTGGGGCCGAGAGTGTCTTCTATTCTTCAGCGTTCTTGACGCCATGCTGCTGCTTTTCCTCCTTCTCAACCTTCGACGACAATCCCAAGTCAAAAAGATAGTGCGGAAGCCGCGTCGGTGTCAGCAGGGTTGGCTCCATGCTGGGTCCCCCCCGAAAATGTGGGCTGGTAGTGGTTGCTCGCTTCCTCATCCTCGCTTACTTCTCTGGGTGCAACTGAGTCAACTCAGTCCAGTAGTGGTTCATAAGTTTCTCATTGCGGCGGCGATCCCGACATAGAGGGACAGAGTGAACGCCCTGCCCAGCAACAGTACTCTCGACCACACTGACGAACACAATCGGCCGAAGCCGATCAACGGTGCCCACATGCACTTCGGACGGGCGTGACATCATCATTGAAGGCGTTGGCAAAGGCCCTACGGTCGTCACAATGCACGGCCTCTGATGATCAGCTATTGGCGATCTCAGGAGGGATGTTTCTAGCGAGCCAGCGGTTCCCAGACCAGCACTTGCAGATATCAAAGTTGTTGCGCGGGAGCGCTGCCCTGGAGACGCGAGCTTCATTTGTAGGGATGGAATGTTCCGAATACCGCAGGTTCTGCCAAGAGCGCCACAAAGAACAGTCTGCAGGGGTGCGTGAGAGGACAACTGCGGCCGTCCAGTCGGAGGAACATCGCCGAGATTTACCGAGCACATGAACAGGTCAAACCTTACACAGAGGAGGGGGACGAGGAGGAGGAGGAGGAGGAGGAGCAGGAGGCGCGGGATGAGGATGAGGGCGACGAAGAGGACACGAAGGAGCTAGACCAAGGATAGTTAGTCAAGTCTCGCAGAAAGAATGGCGTACGGGTGATGACCGAGTTTGCAAGGCAGCGATGCTTGGTGCATCGGAGGGCCTGGAGCGAGCCAACGCGGAATCAGCCGCATATAGTGGCGAGCAGACTCGTCACATGAAGGCCAAAGAGAGGGCGGCGCAGTATGAACAGGCGAACGCGCAGAAGCGTGAGGAGGTAATGAGCGCAGCTCAGTAGCATGCTGTTCACGCGCGTGTGGGGAGAGCAGAAGAAAACACTCGCAGGAGAAGGCCTCCACCGCTTCGACAGCCGAGACTCGCACGCCGATACACACAGTGGCCCAAGCAGCAAATCGGCAGCTAACAGCTGCCCGCCCAGGCCTGGAAGTTCGGATGTCGGGTCTTGAGCATGCAAATCACCCGAGCTGGGATCAGGGTTATCCATGCTCATGCACAGCGGCTTGAGCAGCAACGAAAGCAGCTCGCAGCCGCCAACCAGGGCGCAGAAGCTCGGGTGTCGGGTCTGGGACGTACAGGTCGCCTGAGCTCCTTGCAAGGGCCGCACGGGTGACGGCCTCACTTCAAGCGAGGATGCGCGAGGAAGAGGCGGCGGCGGAGGAGGGGGAGGAAGAATAGGATGGAGGGGGTGAGGGAGAAGGCAGAGGTCTGCAGGGAGCGCAGGACTGGTACGACAAGGTGGAGCAGCAGCAGCGGTGGCTGCCACAGCAGCGGCGGTGGCCGTCTCGGCTGCAGCAGAGGGGCGGTATCAGACCCCCGAGCCCCTGCATCTGCCAGGCGAGGCCTCGCTGAGCGCCTACCTGGCCAAGGCGGATGCTCGTTTTTCTTCCAGCTCTGGAAGACGACGAGGTGGCGGCGCGTCGTAGGATCGCGGGGAGCGTATCGGGCAGGACCATGAGCGCGGGTTGTTCGCAGGGTCTTGCAAATCCAGGAGTGTTTGGAGCTCCAGAGTATGATTATGGCTTCTGGAGGCCTCGGACACATTTTGGAGGACTCAACTCCCCCTGGTGTGATATAGCTGCTCGCTCAGTGCTGCAGCTTAGCAGTGTTGCGGATCTAGCTATGGTCATGCTCTCCACGCACCATCTCTAAGCTCTCCCAGCATGCTACCTCTCGTAAGGCCATTATGATTCCCTCTCATGTCCTCCACCTTGTTGTTGTTTTTTCCAGGCACCTCTGTGTTCTCCACCCAGAACTCGTCGTACTATCACCGAGCTGAAGCTGTACTGCCATATCGTGCGGTCGCGCAGATGTAGCGGCGCGCTGCTTCGGCTGTTGAGCAACAAGATGTCTGTATTGTTGGTACCCTCGCCCTCGGAGCTGTGGGAGGGGCAGCCTGGCAGGCCCGGCATGAAGATGGGCCGTTCTCGTCTAGGCCATCCAGATGGGGTCCGAGTAGATGGGGTCAGAGGATCGCGTCGCATCGCCGATGCATCGGCGATGCGGCTCGATGCGGAGCCCGTTTTTCTCCACGCCCACGCCGCCGATTCATCGCCGACGTGCATCGCCGCTGCATCGGCGATGCGTTGGCGATGCGGCGCGATCTTTCGACCCCATCTACTCGGACCCCATATCGGAGGCCCCTATCTGGAGCGTCCCGGAACGCTTTCAGAGCGTTCCAGAGCGCCCCCGAACGGCCGCGGCGCCCGACACGTGCCCTGGACTCGCCAGGCCTCCGAGGTCCCTGATCTCTCGCAACCTCACTCTGCCCGTCGTCCTGCTGGAAGCATGCGCCACTGGCCCTGTTCCCACGTCTCGCTGCCAAAACCAGTGTGACGTGATTGCTGGGCGCCCGAACACAGTCCAGAAAATGCTGCAACATGTATTTGATATTGTTTTTGAAAGGGATGGTGCGTGGGAGGGCCAGCATTGCCCCTGGTTTGTCGCCAAAGCCGAGAGACTCGCGGGAAGAAAAGCCCTGCACGTAAGAGTGACCCTTCGCTGGAGTGGCCTGTGGTGCGCGGCTTCTGGGGAGCGTGGGGGGGGGGGGGGGCAAACCCGAACACGCAGGCCGCTGCTAACGCACCGCATGCAACGGTCGGCAAGCCGCGCACCAAAAGGGTCACTCTTGCCCAGCGGCACTTTTGCGTGCGGCCGAGAACAGCGGTGCTGCTAAATCCAGCTGGAGCAGGTATAGCCGGAGCCACAGAGCTCCATTTGGTGGGCCTCCCCCTCTCTGGCGACGCTGAGCCCAGTTGGTGCGAGTCCAGTGGAAACTAAAGGTCTCCATCCAGTGGGCCTCCACCTGGACTCAAGCCTCTCCCGAAGATTGCGCGTCGGGGGTCATACTCGTGTTGTTAGGAACCGGCCCTGCCAGCCGCCTTCAGCCATTTGCGCGTTCACGCTCTGGGGGTGGCACTCTACGGTTGGCACATTATTTGCAGATCGGAAGTTCAAGAATGCTTGGGGTCAACGCGTTGGCACCATCCAAAGGTATTGGACGTCACGATGGTGTTCACCTACGTCTGAGCTAAAGAAAGTATTCCTGTTCCTCGGGCTGCTCGAGTGGTTGCTGCTTCAGGGGCGCACGGTGCACATAAGTTGCTACACAAACATGTAATCATATATATATATATATAGGTGTACAGACATATGCATGCATATATATAAATATATATATAATATATACAAATACATATGTACATGTGCGTGTGTAAATATATGTGCACAATTCATATGTACGTATACAGTGCTGGCTCCCTACTGCCCCCCTCCCCCCCGCCTGTCCCCCGCCCACGCCTCCCCCTCCTCTCCCCTGCCCACGCCTCCCCCTCTCCCCTCCCCCGTTTCCCCGTGCCCACTCCGCTCTCGCCCTCCCTCGTTCGAAAACCTGCCGTCCATCAGCACAACCCCAACCAGACGCTGATGAAGCTGGCTCTGACCCGCCTGGCCTTCACCGCCTCCGTGTCTGGCCGCCTAGGCTGGCCACCGGAGCGTGCCGATCGCCCCGAGAAGCGGCGAGCGCGCTGTCTGCGAGGGGAGGAACAAGAGGAGAAGGAGAAGATAGAGCAAGAGCAGGAGGAGGGTCCGTAGCCAGTTTGGCTCGATGATCCGCTTGGGATCCCGAGGCTGCGGTCGAGGAGGTTTCGCGCACGTACGCGCGCGGGAGCCAAAGCATCGGGACGAAGAAGGAGAAGAAGAAGAGGAAACCCGTGGTGACAATCGTGGCTCCGCACACAGTCCTGGAAGTGGAGGCCGAGGAGGTCATCGACACGTTGCTGGCGCGGTTCGTGCTGCCCAAGCCGTGGGAGGTGGATGCGTGCGGCGAGGGCCATGGCATCGGAATAGGGGACTCGGAGTTCTGCGCGGAGCGTGACTCGGACGGGGGCCACCTCGACACGGTGTGCAACGGCGTGGGGTTCTTCTTCATCGGGAGGCGGAACCCGTGGGGAGGCAGAACCTGCCATGGAGGGCGCGGAGGGCGACTTGGTTGGCGACGCCGCGGCGCCTGTGCTGGGTGCCTCCGTGGTGGATGCCGCGGGCAGCTGCTGCGTCGAGGGCAGCTTTTCGCGCGTCGGCGACGTTGACGTGGGAGGGCGACTCTGCTGGCGGCGCCGGAGCGCCTGTGCCAGGAGCCTGCGCTGGGCGCCGTCGCGGCGAACAATGAGATTCGTGGGCGATGTCGTGGGAAACTCCGGTGACAAGGTGAAGAGAGGAGCGCATGTTGGTCGATGTCACGGCGCGACGGCGACCCTGTGGCGCTCGCTTTGCAGAGCTTCGGGAAGGACCTCGCGCGCGGCGAGAGCTACTGGGGCACGAAGCCAGGCGGCACCGTGCGGTGACAGGAGGGAGACTCCCTGCTTGCCGGTGCGGCACGCAACCGCTGGGAAGACACAGACGCCAGCGGCGGCGACGGCGACGACGAGGTGGCGCCCAAGAGTGACGTGGAGCGCGCGTCCGCTGCCCTCGACCCCTGGTTCGGCATCATCGTGTTGGATGGTCCCGGAACGGCGGCTCCACGGACGACGACGGGAATAGCTGTGCTCTGCGGCCCCGCCTCCCTCGCTGCCCCGACCCTGCGCGGAGGGTGGTGCCGACCGTGGAGGGCAAGGCCCGCCCCTGGGCCGAGCCGATGGAGCTCGGCACGGCGCTGGCGCGGTCGCTCGGGCCTTGGAGAGGATAGGGGAGAGGCTGGAGAACAGAGGGCAGAGCGCGATGTTGCACGGCAGGTCGAGAAAGCAGGGTGATAACAGGAGTAAGAAGAGGACGAGAGAGAGAAAGAGTAGACAGAGAGAGAGAGAGAGAGCGTTCTTGCGACCACTGCCGTATATACATGTGTACACATATGTATACACATATGTGAGAGAGCGTGATCCACCGCCGCTTTACTGAGGAAAATTCCCCCCCTCTTCCTCCGTAACCCGGGTGTCCCCCCCCTCCAGAAATCCTCCCCCTGCTGGAACCCCCCCCCTGCCCGCGGCAACCCCCCCCCTTCCTCTGGAAAACGGGGTTACTACCGATTCGACGAACCCCCCCCTCCGGAAAACCAGGTGGCGTCACTACCGGTTCGACGAACCCCCCCCCCTCCCACCCCCTCCGGAACACCAGGGGGGGTCACTACTGGTTCGAACCCCCTTCCGCCCATCCTCAGGAAAACCGGGGGGGGTCACGACCCCGCCCCCCCAACGCTCCCCGCCGGCAGACGACTCCCGGGTCCCTACCACCGTCCGCACCATATCCCCCACTGCTGTCCCCAGCACCACCACAGTCCCCACTGTCCCCACCAGTGCCCCAACCACTGTCGCACTGTTCCCACTGTCCCCACCACTGTCCCCACCACGGTCCCACTCTCCCCACTTTCCCCACTGCCCCAACCACTGTCCCCACTAGCCCATTGTCCCACTGTCCCCGCCGCTCTCCCACTGGTCTGTTCCACTGTTCCCACCACTGTCCCCACCACTGTCCCACTGTATCTCTGTTCCATTGTCCCACCGCCATCCTCGCCGCCGCCTTCACCACTGTCCCCACCACCACTATCCCCACTACTGTCCCACTGTCCCCACCACATTCCCACTGTCCCCATACCACTGTCCCCACCACCACCGTCCCCACCACCGTCCCCACCACTGTCCCCACTGTTCCCACCATTGTCCCCGCTGTCCCCACCAATGCCCCCACCAGTTTTCACTGTCCCCACTCTCCCCACCACTATCCCACCACGGTCCCACTCTCCCCACGGTCCCCACCACTGTCTCACTGTCCCCACTGTACCAACCACTGCCCCACTGTCCCCGCCGCTGTCCGCCTGTGGTGTCCCACCGTCCCTAGTGTCCCCACACTGTCCCCACTGTCTCCACCGTCCCCACCACTCTCCCCACTGTAATACTGTCCCACCACTGTCCTCACCAGCGCATTCACCACTGTCCCCACCACTACCGTGCCCACCACTGTCCCACTGTCCTCACCACTGTTCCGCTGTCCCCTCACCACTGTCCCCACCACCACCGTCCCCACCACTGTCCGCACCACTGTCCCACTGTCCCCGCACCAATGTCCCCACCACCACCGTTCCCACCACTGTCCCAGTATCCCCACCATTGTCCAACTTTCCCGAGGAGCGGGAATCGCTTGCCGGCGGCGAGGGGGGGGAAGGGGGGGTCCAGTGCCCCCACCATTGTCTTATTGTTCCCACTGTCCCCACCACTGATCCCACCACAGTCCCACTCTCCATTGTCCCACTGTCCCCACCGTCCCACTGTCCCACTGTCCCCGCCGCTGTCCCACTGAGCTGTCCCACTGTTCCCACCACTGTCCCCACCACTGTCCCCACTGTACCTCTGTCCCATTGTCCCACCGCCGTCCTCGGCACCGCCTTCACCACTGTCCCCACCACCACTATCCCCACTACTGTCCCACTGTCCCCACCACATTCCCGCTGTCCCCACACCACTGTCCCCACCACCACCGTCCCCACCACTGTCCCACTGTCCCCACCACTGTCCCACTGTCCCCACTGTTCCCACCATTGTCCCCGCTGTCCCCACCAGTGCCCCCACCAGTGTCTCACTGTCCCCACTCTCCCCACCATTGTCCCACCACGGTCCCACTCTCCCCACTGTTCCCACGGTCCCCACCACACTGTCCCCACTGTACCCACTACCGTCCCACTGTCCCCGCCGCTGTCCCACTGTGCTGTCCCACCGTCCCCACTGTCCCCACCACTGTCCCACTGTCCCCACCACTCTCCCCACTGTAATACTGTCCCACCACCGTCCTCACCACCGCCTTCACCACTGTCCCCACCACTAACTTGAGGTTACCGTCCGCACCACCACTGTCCCACTGTCCCCACCACTGTCCCGCTGTCCCCTCACCACTGTTCCCACCACCACCGTCCCCACCACTGTCCGCACCACTGTCCCACTGTCCCCGCACCACTGTCCCCACCATCACCGTTCCCACCACTGTCCCAGTATCCCCACCGTTGTCCAACTGTCCCGAGGAGCGGGAATCGTTTGCCGGCGGCGAGGGGGGGGGAAGAGGGGGGGGTTGAACCGGTAGTGACCCCCCCCGGGTTGTTCCCAGGAAGGGCGCCGGCCCAGGGTTCTCTTTTAGTTGGTAAACTTGTCCCCGGTGCCTCAACTGAGGTGGGCCGGCGGATTCTTTCCCTGATTAATATCGAGGTCGAGGTGGGCCGGCGGATTAAAATTTGAGGATGTCTCAGGCGAAACGCTTGTTTTTGAAATCCCGATCGATAAATCACAGGGTGCGGGCCACTCCCCAGCACGACCACACCCCAGCAAGACCATCACCCAGCACGACCACACCCCAGCACGACCTCACCACAGCACGACCACACCCCAGCACGACCACGCCCCAGCACGACCAGGCCCCAGCACGACCACGCCCCAGCACGACCACCCCCCAGCACGACTACCCCCCCAGCACGACCACCCCCCAGCACGACCACCCCCCAGCACAACCACACCCCAGCACGACCACTCCCCAGCACGACCACACCGCCTTGGTTGAGTGGTTGCCTGTCGTCGTGGAATTTTTCGTGGGGTGTCTCGTGGACTGTTTCGCAGGGTGTCTCGTGGAATGTTTCCAGGAAAACGTTGAAAGCGGTCGCCCGTGTCTCGTGGAATGTTTCGCGGGGTGTCTCGTGGAAGTGCCCGTCGCCCGATACGGTGTCGTGAAAACGTTTCCATGCATGCGGTTCTACATCCCTTTCCAGGTTCGTGGGTCCATCATGTTTTTTTGGGGGGGGTCGAACCGGTAGTGAATCCCCCTTTTTCATGATGGACTGGGGGGGGGAGGGGTTCGAACCGGTAGTGACCCTCCCCCGGTTTTCGAGGGGGGGGGGGACGGGTTGGGAACCCCCAGTGACCCCCCCCCCGGTTTCCCGCCAGCAGCGGTATAACACGCTCTTTCACACATGTACATATGCATGTGCATCTATACATTTATATACAGACATGCCCATACATATATGTGTATATATAACACAGAGAGACGCATTGACATATGGGTAAGTATAGCTGATTGTCACATTGAAAGAGCAGGTGGTACAGACAAGAGAGTACATATCATATATATATATATATATAAGAGATAGAGCGCCACTGAGTAAATGCATTCACAGAGATGAGAGCTTATATTCCCCAAGCAGTGCTTGCACTTAGGGGGTCGCGTTTTATTTCTAAGGAACTGGGCCGTGTCTTCGGTCTGGTGGCTATGTGGCTGCCGTCTCCGCCGCTTCGCCGCATCATCGCCACCCGTCGTCTGGGCCGTGTCTTCGGTCTGGCGGCTATGTGGCCGCCGTCGCCACCCCTTCGCCGCCTCGTCGCCGCCCGTCGTCTGGGCCTGTCTGCCGATCTGGCGACTATGTTGCCGCCGTCGCCGCCCGTCGCCTGGGCCATTCTGCTGGTCTGGCGGCTACGTTGTACAAAATACCTTGCACAAC